CTGGCTTTTTCCGAGGACTGTCATTCCTAAAAAAAATCGGACCCCCATTCAAGTAATCCTGGATCCGCCCCTTACGTCAGATTGTCACTTAAATGGCTGACTTTTTGTGTATTGTCGCCAGTGAAAGGGAGTACCCCCCCCCCTTCCCCCCAATGGACGAATTACCTGTAAGAAGCCGGTAAAGTGGCGCGGTAAACAGTGGCAGATTTACGGGGTCTTAGGGGGTCCTGACCCCCCTTAGATTTCTGAAAAAATCCCACCGTCTCCTCTTGAAATTACAATTTGTACTAGTGGAATCATAGTTCTTAACCGTACCAAATGGCATCGTTCGCCCTCTAAAATACCAATTGAATGGTCCCTTCAGCAGGCCCCTGACCCCACTCCAAGGGGAGAGGGCGACTTCGCTTCCGCCCCCCCCCCCCCCCCCCCCCCCACACACACAAACACACGCACCTCATTCAGCGAATCATCTGGCAGCCTTAAAAGCCTAGATTATTGCCTGTTTGGATTCTTCCGCATCAAAATCTGCCAGTTATTAATATTTTCTGTGGTGTCCCATATATGGAGATTCAGGGGATGCAGTTCGCAGATACCCATATTACATGAAGATAGAGGCAAACGCGCTTCCGCTCCCCCCCCCCTCATTTTAATAAATGAATCGCGTGGCTTTCAAAAGCCTAAATGAGTACCTGTTTGGATTCATCTGAGTCAGAATCGACTTGTAAAACCTGCCACTCATCCATATTTTCATTGGTGTCCCATATTTGCTCTGGAAATATCGTAAAAGATGTAGAGAACACATTACTACCCCAGGAGATGGAATGTTTATTAAAATAATACAGCTGAAAATAATACCGGAAGGTGTCTTACGAAGTCAACAGTGCCACTTGAAAGAGGATGGTATTTTACTCACATGAATCTTTAGGGGGTGGAAATCCCAAGACGGACGTATGTATGACATTATGCTGAATGTGCTGTGTGTGAAAGAGACAAAATATCACGGTTATCAATGAACTCATCGTACATCCGTCTTGGGAGCTCACCCCCCTTATGTACGAGGGTTGACTGATAAGTAGTGAGCCTTATATAGAAGGGGTACACATTTTACAAGTATTTTTCTTTATTTTTCAACATACTCTCCTTGAGTATCTATACACTTTTGCCAGTGAGTTTTGAGAGACTCTATGCCACTTTTATAGAAGCCCTTCTCTTGGCCGTTCAGAAACCCCTCCACTTCACGTATGATGTCATCATCTGACACAAAGTGAGTACCTGAAATGGCCTTTTTCAATTTGGGAAATAGATAATAGTCAGAGGGAGCAAGATCAGGAGAATAAGGTGAATGTTCTATAAGTTTAAACCACACTCGTTGATTGCAGCCATGGCAATGATAGACTTGTGAGCAGGGGCATTTCGCAAAAGTCACTTGCCTTGCTTATTTGAGAGTGCTACCTCGTCGACATAAACTTATCAAATGATACCAAACTTCGGCTACACACCTTTAAATAGTCAGGGAATAGAAGGGCTGAAAAGGGATATCCCTGCTTAACCCCTTCCACACGAGGCTCACTACTTATCAATCAACCCTCGTATGGTATTTGAAATAACCACAAGAACAAAAAGTTCATATACTTATAAATTGTTATATTTTAAAAAATGCAATGTAGAGATATGATGCGAATATGCACATATTTTTAATTTACACGGAGTGCAGGTACATGTATTTCTACCACAGTGTATTTTACTTTTGAAAGGCATTCTGTCTTTAAAAATCCAGAGAGCTTATTGTCTAAAACGCTACTTTGTAACAGTACCCTGAAGATATATTTTAGTGTGTTGTGACGTCACACTGTGACGTCGACGTCACTAGGTTCTTACCCACATATGCTAAGGCTCTTGTCACGTAAATCAGTACAATCAGCAGACCCCAACAGCGATCCATGACGGTGCTAATATAAAACAAAATGAAATAAAACATAAACAAGAACATAAATGTTGGATCATAAGGCTTGTGCAGAATATGAATATTCTTGGATTGCCAAATTGACGAGTATTCTACGCAGTTTTTGCATAGACCTCCTTGATTTCAGGTACTGTTCCTATGTAGATTATTTATTGTCAAGTACTTATCAATCTTCTGCCACTGATTTGTTGCCGAACCTAGTTTTAACTAGTCTTAAAAGAGATATCATATTGTTACATTCACACTCTACTCCGTATGAACCAGAATACAAGGTACGCGAATGGGGAGTGGTGGAATCGGAAGAACTACATCACTGAGATTAGAATATTGGTATATTGGTCATAACTGTGCTGGGTTGACCGGGGCTTTTCAACCCTCAAACAAAACGAACCGCAACGCTTTACTTGACATCTATTGTATTTTTGTGATCCTTCATGTTTGACATGTTCAGTTCATTTTGAATTATGGTTAAGATTTTTTTCTTTTGTTTTGTTTTTAATAAAAAAATTCTTTGTGCTAGAAAATTACCATCTGATAACAGTAAAACTGATGCGTGATAACCTCAAGACTAAAAGAATTATTTTATTATTATTATTATTATTATTATTATTATTATCAATATGTTTATTATGATTATTTGTTAGACAGTCCTTATTCAGTTCAGAGGTACCCGGATCTGGGGGATAGAGCTCAGAGGTACCCGGATACAGGGAGTGGAGTTCAGAGGAACCCAGATTCAATAAAGGCAGCACGCGCTTCCGCACACCCCTCCTAATTACCATTTACTGGATGAATTCAGAACATCCCAAGTTAAGCAAGGAAAAATTTGCCTGCTTTCCTCACCCGTCTATCTTGGATAGATTGAACAACTAACCTGACTGTTATTAGAGATTTGAAAATTGTTGACCCGAAATAACGATGATGTCGCTAACATAGAGCTGAACTTAATGATTTAGATGTTTTATACAAAATGAGTTCATGATACGAATTCACGATGGCATTAATAATAATAATAACAATCGTCTTTATATCGGAAGTGTAATTATCGCGGAAATGACACAATCGTTCCTAAAATTACTTGATGCATGTTGGGAATCGACGACACAAAGCAAATTCCGTGCCACAGCTCAGTGCCCTTGAGTAATTGCTTTCCTTGCGGCCAGTGCTTTAGCTACCCAAGTACACATGTCCTGTAAAACTATACACTGAGCAATGCTTGATCTCAGGAGTTAACGGGAGTACACCCACACAGCATATACAGTATATAACCATTCATAAGAAAATATGTCATCGCATTTACTCCATGTCATCACGAATAAATCATCAGGGATGTTCTTATTTTCTTTCAAAAGAAAGCAAATGCGTCGCTTTATTTTCGTTATATGGCCTGAATACATATTTTTTTCTTTTCTTTTGCTTCGTTTCTTCTTTCTTTTTTAGGATGGGGGGGGGGGAGAAAGCGGTATGTCAGTAGGTACATGTAAGGACGGGTTCGTGTAACTGTGGCCCCCCTCCCCCTCCCAAACCTGCCATTGCTGTATTTGGATAGAAAAAGAATGGATTTCGGAATTCGACACTGCACACCGAGGCCTATATACATAGTCGGTGAAATAGTAGTTGTACGTGGCAGTGACGTCTGCTTTTTTGTTGTAGATAATTGAAACATAGAAAGTGCATTGTTTGATGTGTTTACAAGCGAATGCAGATATAGTTTTTAAGGAATTACGGGAAAGGGTAAATCACGTTTTTGATTATTATATCTTGCCAGTTTGTTAGTTATAGTAAGTTATACAGTGACCCACTTTATTGATAGTATAACGTACTAAACACTATAAAAATAATTCGCTGACACGCCTTTACGCAAATCCTGTTTTTCACTTGAATCTACAGTCACGGACAGAACTGCATTTGTCTATGTGCATGTGCGAATGTGTTCGTGTGTATGTGAATGTGTGCATGTGTGTATTTCTGTGTGTGTGGAAAAGGAAAGAGAGAGAGAGAGAGGTGAAGACGTCCATGTATTGCATGCAGAATAGCGGAATCAAAGAGAACGTATCAAGACGTCTTACCTTGCTTTATGTGATCTCTTCCAGTAGGAATCAAAATCAACCCGTTAACAGATGACGTCCAGAAGTAAGTAGTGAGATAATAATAAAAAAGTGCGAAATACCTCTCTCAAGTGCAACCTTGGCTCGGCTTGACCCTGTTGACGCACAAATGAAGTGCATAAACCGCATGCTGTACACTCACTGCTTACGCAACAGGATACGCGTGTCAGCTGGAGCGGCTTCCCGTAGAGCCGCATTTTGCAACCGACCGCATTTTGCAACCATGAAGGAGGCATTGCGGGTAATAACTGGACAGCAGTTCAATAAATAATAAGAAAGAAAATATCTGAGTTGTATTTGCTACCTCGCGTAACATGAAGAGGACAAGCCAATAACTTCGTCACAATTGCACTACAGACACTGGCCGAGGTAGCCAAGAAATCTTAAACGTGTTGACATTTTGGATTTATTTCATCAGTAAGAACATCGATAACACTGCTTTTTGACACATTAAATACTGAAAATTATCAAAGTCTTTATCTCATTCAATACCTAAAAAAACTAATATCAAAAATGTTATTTATGGCAAAATTGTGGTACTCATAACTGATGAAAATTGACTCAACTGCATGCAGGAGGTAGCCTAGCAATCACCCTTGCATTTTATCTGTCAACTTGCTCTCATGTTGCCCAGTCTAAAAATGTAAACTAATATTTTTTTTTTACTTTTAAGTTAAAACTACTGAGAAGTAAAATAAAAGACTCCGATTTTTGGGACCATAAGCTATATTTGCAATCTTCTCCACTTTAACCACATGGTGCAGAAACCATCACATGACACAACACATTAAAACATTTGTCAGAAGATGGGTTGGGGTTACTGGATATGACGCCAGTGAGGAGATAGTTAAATGTAAGTAAACTGACAACACTGTTATTCTCTTATACCGAAAATACCAAGAAACTTACTCAAAAGCAATTGTACATACCAGACAGAGCTTTATTTCGAGTTATTTTTGCTCCTTTCGTTCCTTCTCCGGGTGCCATTAAAAATATTTTCTTACAAAGAAACAGGACGACGGTTAAAAAAGAACAGATTGCCTATTTTTTGTGAGATGTCTACAAAACCAAGTAAAATATTTTGTTATCACACTAAACCCTGCCACATTGGAAAAAGCAGATAATCATGGTAGCCAAGGGTCCATGATTACAACAATACCGGTAGAAAACAAACTAGTGATTGAAATAAATCACGGCAAAGGGTGGAACAACAAGAAAAGCAAATTGCTGATATTCCCTGGAATAAAGAATAAGTAATAAAAGCATAACAACAGGAAATATAGAATTGTAGACTGACAAATCAGAATGGAATATTCTGATTAACATGAAAAAGACAATGAAAACAATTGAATGAGTGTTCGGTTCCAAAGAATAGATTACAAATCCTCTTGAATTTGTACGACAAATCAAGTGAATAAATAGATGAAAGTTCCAGTCGTTATTGTTGTCATTATTATAACAAATTGGTGGAGGACCTGGTCAATGATCCCAGTGTGTCTCGCAATGTGTTACTTCAATCAACCACAGTCACCATCAGTTTTTCAAAAGAGGCAATAACATTTCCAACAATTGAATGACTAAGCTTCAAAATGATTTGGCTACAAAAGACCCTTGGATTTCATTAGGGTTATTGGGCTTATTGCCCATGATAACAATTAGCCTAGGTATCAAAGTCCGGTGATTGGCAATGATAGTGGCTTAATGAAAAGGACACGTAATTTTGAAACAAAATACGTCTAAGAAAGTGAACAGACATTTGAAATTGTAACATATAGCAGTGAGCCGTCTGAAGAAGAAGAAATACTACCTGAAAGTTCACACCAACAGACCGTTGTTCACAAATGCAGTTTATTAGACCCAGTTGTCAAACAAAGGTCATGATAATTTTTTTTTTTTTTTTTTTGAAAGAGACCAAACCAATTCCAACAACTGCAAATCTTCGAGTTTAAAGGGCCATTCATCGTTAAACAAAAATCCATCTCAAACGGTCCAGAGTCTCCCATCATTATTAGTGATGTTGACGATGACACAAACAACTCTGAGAACAACAGAGTCTGCTCAGAGTCTCCAATCGTCATTGACCTCAGCGAAGAAGAAGCAAAATACGTTGCACCTTCAAGATCGCCAGCTGAACAGTTTATTAACAATTGAAAAGACTAACAAGAAAATAACAATGTCCTCAGATCTAGGGTTAGCTCCAGAAAAATTTAGAGGAAATGGAAATGAAGATGAAACGAGGTGGCCGACTCATTTTAGAAACTACGTCAGCTATAAAGAGCTAGAAGGGGAGCAAATAACTAACATGCTTCCTCTGTTGCTAAAGTAGTCAGCGTTACATTGGTATGAGTATTTGCCAGCTAGAGTACAGAAAGACTGGGAATCCCTTGAGGGTGAGTTTTGGCAATGATATCAGCTGAAAGGTGGGGAAACTTGGGCGAAGGCATTAGATTTTTTTCTGAAGACATCAAAGGCAAGACGAACCAGTGCAGAATTACATCACGTCGATGCGACATGATGCGAAACGTGCTCAGTTAGATGAGGGTATGGCCCTAGTAATAAATGGGTTAATCCCAGAAATAAGACCATTTGTGCTGCAAAGGGAACCCACCAATTTCGACTCATCGACGCATTATGCCAGAACTGCAGAAAATGCAGTCCAACCTACAAGAAAAAGTTAACAGTCTGACATCTAATGATTCAAAAAAAAAAAAAAAAAAAAATCAACGTTCTAAAAAGTTCCATCAGTGAAGCCGTCCTGGCCAGTAAGAAGCCTGCAGTACATCATTGATCATTGATTTCCATAAGAAGGTTTGGTACCAATGGGTGCATCATCCAACGCAATGTTCCACCACGAAGGAGAATTAGAGTATAAATACTTGTAAAATTGTATGAAAAGAGGGTGGTTAATAAATGATTAAAGGCATCAGAATGTCGCCATAGTTACAATAGTAGGTAATCATATGAAAAGGTTGCTTCCACAAATCATGCCATTTGTGGTACAGAGGCAGCTCACTGACTTGGAACCCCTGATGACCTTAGCAGAAGTTTAGAGTAACTGTAAGTACATGTAGTATGGTTTGAACAGAGCGACTAGTTCTGAAAGTTCTTACAAAGTAAGCCTATTGATTCAGACACTACCAAGTGTTAACTTTTGGTGTCAATGTCACATTGTCAGTGTAATAGTAAAGAGTGACAGTAATCAGGAAAATCTCACACAACCAACATGTAACACTGTAACAACATAAACAGCACCTTACTCCATCAGTGTTGCGGAGAGTTATTTTCATAAATTTGAATATGAAGACTGTTAGTGATGGATGAATCAGGTTAAAGAAGACAGACTATAAAAATTACTCCCCCTTGAGGCAGGAGCTAGCATACCAGTGCCTTTCATATACCTGACCGTAACCTATGGATAGGACAAGGCAGAAAATTAGGATAACAGGTCTTGGAAAACAGGTCTTGGAAAACAAGTTCAAAGGTACTACAAGCTAATACCTCTCTGAACTTGAGAATGGAAGATTTAGTCTGAAAGTAAAAACTCCCCGAGTTCATTGCAGACATTTGACATAAAATTCAGTATGAAGTTCTACTCTACAGCAGACAATGCTACAGGTGGGATCATTGCCTTGCATCATTTTACACATTATAACAGGCTGCCCTTTACTAGGATGCAGTGGCAGTGGGAATGGAGAATCCCGCCAACTTAGATGAAGCTGCTGAAGGGTTAGACATAAACAATAGCCAGAAAGAAGAGACCTTGAAAAGACCAGGGGTGACAGTAATGAAAACAGATAGTGTTAGTGCTGAGAGGCAGCTGAAAAGATTCTGAGAAAAAAGTGGACAGAAAAGTAGACAAATTAGAACACTCGTTTTAAAGAGGCATAAATCCAGATACAGCAAGAAAGCCCTCGCCTCCAGAAAATGACTGGAAATCAAACTAGGGTTCAGGCAGTGCTTTAATTGAAGAGAAATTGATTGCAGAACTGAATGACGCTTTTCAATTTCAAATTGTAATGATATGTCCTTTATAAGGGCTCATGTACTTGGTGCTGATACTTTCTAAATGATCTTGTACAGGTTTTACCAAGATAGGAGGCATGGTAAAATCACCTTCACTCCCACCGTGAAATGGTAAAATCAAGGAAAATGGACTGGTAATATCCTAATCAATGACAGCACATGGGCATATTTTAATAAAATATATTTCAATTTACTCCCATAAAGTGAACAGCACCACATTAGCTCTCTGGACACGGTTGGTATTGGTCATCTGGAGGTCAATACGCTGTGTGGCCTGCTCCTAAGACAGGTGGTTACGTTGAATTAGCCTTTTCACAGCCTGATGGTCAAGAAAGGGGTGAAATCAGTGTAAAATATCACATCTATTTCAAATTCAATGTACATATAATCCATGCGAGATAAAATAAAATAAATAATTAAATTAAATATGTTTTTTATTAAATTAACAAATTTAAGGGGGTCGTTTTTTACCAAACCAACATTAAAAATGAACAATATGCACATCAATCTGCAGGTATTTAAACAAATATAATAAATATTATTAAAATGTGAAATGTGCCTGATTTAAAATAACATAAAAAGCAGTACTTCAAATTTGTATTTATTCCATGAATAAAGAAGTAATAGAGATTGAAGAAAAAGATCGCCGTGACACGCACCTCGTCTCTGGGTACAATACACACCCAGACCTCATGTACCAATCTGTCCCATTGAGCCTCTAACAACACCGCGGCATCCAGGACCACCACCCCCTTCCCCTGTCTGGAGGACTCCATGATCAGCACCACATTAGCTCTCTGAACACGGTCAATATTGGTCATCTGGAGGTCAATACGCTGTCTGGCCTGCTCCTCCGACAAGTTGTTACGGTCAATTAGCCTTTTTACAGCCTGGGGGTCAAGAAAGGGGAGAAGTCAGTATACAACATCACATCTATTTCAAATCCAATGCATATGTACTTCACATGAGAAAAATTAAATTTACAATTATATTCAATGATTTAAATAAATAAACAAATGCTTTCTCTTTATCTTGAGAGAGATTTTCACCACTACTGACATTGAAAAATGAGCTATATGTTACATCCATCTTCATGCATTTCAACAAAAATAAAAATGTTAATTGTTTTAAAGTTTTAAATATAAAAAAAGAACTTCAAATATATATGATTGTTAACAGTGTCTTTATTCTTTCAATTAAGAAATAACTCAAAGATTATTTATGATCGTAAAAAAAGTTGTCATGACACGCACCTCGTCTCTGGGTACAATACACACCCAGACCTCATGTACAAAGCTGTCCCATTGAGCCTCTAACAACACCGCGATGATCTGCTGCTTGGACAGTGTGGCTATGGACGGCCAGACTAGGGAGTTCAACACGTCCATGTGACACTGTGTGTTTGTGTGTGTGTGGGGGGGGGGGAGTGAAATCAGGTGTATGAAGGAATTGGTAGTATAATTACAGGGAGAATACTGTAAAACATACCCCTATATATATCACACCTAGGTTGATCCATATGCGACATTAATCTGCAGGGCCGTAGCCTGAGCAAAATGCCAGGGGNCAGTAAGCGGACACGAGGGGGCGAAGCCAGTTTACATGCCTCTTATTTATCATAGTCAAATTATAGACTGCACAGAAATAATCAGACTATGGAAACTTTGAGTGTTTCCAAATAATTAGTCTTTTTTTTATATATAAAACAAGTCCAAAGTAACTGAGAAGTGTAACTAGCAATTTCATGGAGGTGCATTGGGTTTCATTTTCTGCTTGATTGCTAGAAGTTTATTTCCGTGTATAGACTTTACTATATTTTCAACACTTTCTCACCAAATCGGCACCTGTCAATCTTCCAACATGCCCCTTCCCCTTTTATGTAAAGTAGAGGATAAAAAAACGCAATACCGCCTCCAAATATTGTACCACAAGCTGGAGTAAGCACATCGTATGGAAAAGTAACAAAATGGACACCTACTCCAGTGTTGTGCTTGACAAACTCTACAAAATGCAGTAAACAAAAGTTCTCAATAGTTTGGTTGAACATTACCATTAAAACTAAATCATGGGTAAAAAAATTAATTAGTTTTATTCCAAATTTGTGAAGTGCGGTTCATGGCGAAAAGATGGTCAAAGGTCAATTTCAAGATATCAGTTACATAGATTACCAGTATATGATTTCCTATTACATTTTAATAGTAACTATGCTAGTTTAAGAGATATAAGGGACTAAAATGTTGCAAAGTTCAGTTCAGTTCATGGTGAATAGTAGGTCAAAGGTCAATTTGAAGGTCACAGTTTGATTGCCAGTATATCACTTCCTATTCAACTTCAATAGTAACTATGGACCTATCTCTGCAGGTTCTTGTAGTCTAGGAGGAGAAGCGGTAATGGTGACTTGACGTCGGAGCCGCAGGACCCGGCGGAGCCAGTGAAACATGCGGGTCGTGATTAATACTATGGGTATCGCCAGCGCCTACGCTGGTGGTACAATGACAATTAACTCTCCTTTTAGGATTTTATACCTTTTTTTAACTCTCAGGTTTTAAATAAAGAGTGTGTATGTGTGGCTGTGTGTGTGGGTGTGTGTGTGTGTGTGTGTGTGCAGTGGGGTTACAGTAACAGATATTTAATTACCCCACTCAGAAATTACATTTACAAATAGTGACTGCTAGTTCTTGTATGTTTATCGCCGACCAAACTGCATCAGTGTCGGGAAACATCTAGCATCTTATATAACGGCTGCGCATTGTTACTTGCCAAACCCATCACCGATTGACAGAAAAAAGAAAAAAAACACGGACATGCGGAATGCGGCAGGTTGAGGAGCAGTCAGGGGGAATGGATTTAACATTTTTCTGTTAAGATATTACATGTATTTCAAAGATTAACAAGTTCTCAGATAATTTCAACACGAACTAGTGCATGTGCCTAGTGTGCGTTTAAATTTCTTTTCTTTGGTGGTATAAGATGAAATCAGATTCTATTCCAAAGTTAAAAGTGTGAGGTTGCTAATCCATTCTCTAATAGACTACATATGACGGAAAAATTGAGAAAAGTTATATCATTTCCCTCCTTGTTGGCAGTCACTGTTACATTTACTGGGCCACTGTGGGTGTTTTACAGGTGTTTCATTCATGGCTCTATTTCAATAGTCTGAGCTTAAGAGTAAACGCAATGCAACTATGTCAACACAGAATCAATGTTCCTGCTATGTTGAGGTAAGCAGACGCCATGTTTTTCTCTACTTGTACAGTTCTAAAAGGGACAAGAAGAAACAGGACGGATATTTGAGGAATTAATTTAATATCAGACGTGATAAATGTGACAGTAAGTCAGATAAAAGATATAGTGGTACTTGTGATCTCTGTTGGTCAAAGCTGTAGAATTGTGAGATAGAGAGAAAATTAAGCATTTTTTTGACAATTTCTAGACAGAGTTATTCAATACCAAAGGCAAAACACCAGCGCAACCACCCTTTGTAAATTAAAGAGACAGCCAGTCATGGCAGGAGCACTAGCAGCAGATATCAAAGAGAATATCTTGACATGCAACATCTGTCTGGGAGAGTATGAGGACCCCCGTGTGCTGCCTTGCTACCATACATTTTGCTATGGTTGTATATCTGACCATGCTACGCGCACGCTGACTCCAAATAGAACATTTCTGTGCCCCATTTGTAGAGAAAAGCTCCAGTTTCCAGCTGGTGGACTTAATCAACTGAAAAAGAATTTCAGCTTTAGCAAAACCAAGGATATCATAACCAAGCAACAAGAGAGACAGACGCTAGAAGAGGAACAGGCCAATGTAGCAGCAGTGACACAGGCCATTGCACAGATGACTATCAGTTGTGAGAAACATCCTGATAATGAATTAAAATATTACTGTGAAGATGATAATACTGTTATATGTGGCAAGTGTATAGCAACAGGGCATGGTGGACATCGTATATCATCAGTAATGCAAGTTGCAAAAATCAACAAAGATAAAATTAAAACTGCTCTTGAGAGAACTATGAAAACAACCAACAGATTTAAAGAAGCCCTGGAAACAGCCAATAAAACAGATGACCCTCATATCAAGACACACACTATCAAAAACATAAAAAAACAAACTCAGAATGTGCGCAAATTCATTGATCAGAGAGAAGAGACACTGATATCAGAAGTTAATTCTGCTTATGACAACTGGAAAAAGCAGAAGGAGGCAACCAAGGGCATCCTTGAATTCCACCATGCCTCCTTGCACAGTGCCTGTGATTTTGCCCAGGAACTTATCGCTAATGGCACTGACTCTGAAATCATGCTTCATGCAAAACCTCTGATAGTAAGACTGGCAGTGATGGAAAAAACACCTGTCCCAACTCCAGACACACCAGCTCATATATCTTACATACCAGGTAAGATATATACTGCCGGACTTAAAGCCATGTTAGGACAGGTGACAGAAGAATTACAACTTCCATTACCAGGACAAGGAACAAATCCACGTTCAGCACCAAATCTTCCAGTTTTCTTTGAGAAGGCAAAATGTATGCATTCCTTCTGCCCTAGGCTGAAAGGTGACATAATATTTCGCATATATGGATTGGCCGTTGATGAGCAATATACATATGTTGTGGATCAATATAATTCTTGGCTATGGAATGCCAGAACAAAATTGTTCACACATGATGGAGAATTAAAGTTTGACTTTAAACTAAACAATCCATTTGATATAGCTGTGTCACAAACTGGTCACCTGTTTATAACATCAAGGGTAGACAAATGTGTGAAAGTGTACTCCACCAGAGGTAAGCAGGTGACAACCATGGGTCGTGGTATACTTGAGGCCCCATGTGGTATTACAGTGAACAGACAAGGTCATGCGATGGTTTGTGACAGTGAAAAGAAATCCATCTTCACATTCCATCCAGACAGTGGACAGCTCCTGAACACTATTCCACTCCGTATGTGTAGAGACCCAGTTTACATCACAGTGAACAGTTTGAATGATAGCATCGTAATATTAGACATAGACTGGGTCAAATCCTGTGTACATGTGCTGTCACCTACTGGTAATCCGCTGTACCAGTATGGAGAAAAAGGTAGTGAGCCGTTAAGTCCATGCGGAGTGTGCACAGACAGCTATGGTCAAATCTTCATTGCTGACAATATTAAACACAGGATAGTGGTACTTAGTCCACAGGGACAGTTTTTCAGATACATTGCCACTAAGGCTGATGGGTTGAATAATCCTGTAGCATTAGCCATCAACCCTGCCGGTCAGCTGGTGGTGGCAGAGGAAGATGGCATGATTAAGACATTCCAGTATTCATAGCAAATACTGATCACACTGTAAACTGATGTAAATATATTTCACAATACTGTAACAACAGGCTACTTACTGCAGGTAACATGGATATTTAGCAAATGTGACTAGGTCTTCAGGCCCATGAACCTTTAAAGTCACTCCTTGAAAATAGTCAAAATGTAAACAATATATACTTCACTGAAATGAGTTTATTTTCACATTTTCACCACTTTTATACATAATACAAAATAATTAATTTCCTGTTTATTTGATTTGATCAACTAACAAAATTGTTGAGATGAGGAAAAATTAATAGAAAAAATTTAATGTCCAATTTGCTCCATTCTGAGATTCTGAACAAAGTGAATGATTGAAACTGACAAACTGTTTGATTTTAGTTTTTTTTCCCTTTTGACACTGTATTACACAATTCACAATGACAGGTTTACCATTATTTTATATAGTCACCTTACAATATTGTTAAGATGCCAAAAACGTCAAAATAATATGTTAACATATTTTATTAATTCACTAATGAGACTGTTAACATGCCTGAGAATTAAATGTGCGGAGAAACCACTTATATACCAAAAAGGCATCGTTTATTAGACCTGTGAATCAGCCTTACTAGTTTTAATGTAAAATGTAATAGGGTTTTTATGTTATTTGTATAGTGGAAACGGTAAATAAAATATGGTGAACGGGTTAAAAAATATTTTAAGAAATACCCCGATCATGCTGATTTTCGAACTCGACCTGTATTTTATGAACATTCATTAGTTACGTAAGTTTGAACAAAAAAGGTAAAACGGTTTTTGACTTATCGTGTTATCATTGAACACGGCTACGGCAATGGCAATGGCGCCAGCGACGACAGACGCAGGTGACGGCTACAAACAATTACATATCACTTGCTGCACGATCGTCCATCCCACGTTCATTCTAAACTGTAATGCTGTCGCTGGAGGTTGGAATAAACGGTTGTATTTTGTTGTTCAAGATTTTGTGCCTCGGAGAATAAAATTGGAATGGCCACTATATATTGTAATGTTAATTTCAATAATGTAACATTGGAATCGATATAGAATGTGACAACTATTTGGAATGCACAGTGCTTTACACATATATAAACATGTTTCGGGAGTACTCAGGAAGTGCCCCATTTAATTATGCAAATGAGGGTTGCTGATGTGACAGGAATGGAACTCTGGTGTCCCATTTGATTAGAACAGGTTAGAGACGAACGTTACCTATCCAAAGTAATGGGAAGTGGACTACAACAGTTCCTAGAGGAATTCCATTCCTGTCACACCTACAGTGTGTTGACGGGGTACAACGCCGATTTGCTTGTTAAAATAAGGAACCCCAGGAATACCCCAAAAATTGTTGCCATTAGTTACTTTTGTCACCATGCGTTCAAAGCGTTAATCTGACAGTTGGTTTAATAAAAAATTTTCACTGGAGTAGGAGCATCTAGAAACACATGGAGTATTGATTAAAAGAAGTTTATTGTAAAATGGACATCGCTATGAACACATATATGTACAATGTACACTATTTTATCCTAAAACCAGATCCTACACAAACCCCAGAGGGCCAGTTCAAATGCATAATGCAGTCAAACAATTTAGATGTTATAAAGAATGTGGCCCACTATATCACAATGTGTAATAAGGCATGAAAAAATATTCCCAACCAACCATCACCTGGTTAACCAAAGTAACTAAGCGTATACTGCAATTGTAAAATCTGATCGCAGTTATTGTATAAACAATATTGTAATTTACTATTGTGATTTTAGTTATATGATTATATAATGTATACTGTTAGATCATAGTCATTGTAAAAAATGTACTTGAACCGCAATAAATAAATAAATAAATAAATAATAATAATAATAATAATAATAATAATTATTATTATTATTATTATTATTATTATTATTATTATTATTATTATTATTATTATAATGATAATAATAATAATAACTATTACATCAAGTAACGTAGTCACAAAATTAATTAAACAAAGATACAAATTTGAAATCAAAACAGTTAGAAAACAACCTGATTATACAGTTGTGCTTAATATTGATATCATATTCATTTTTATTACCCTTTAACTTCAATTCTAAGCGCTGAGAATACGGTATATAATAGCAAAACTTAATACCAGTATGACTTGAATGGTAGTCCGCAGGGAACCTAGTCCGTTCCCCATTATTTATGCAGGTGGCATTTCTCCCATCTACTAACCCAAATAGTTTGACTAACCCTAACCTGTATTCATATTATAGTATCCCGGACTTCCATTCCTAGTACTATCATTCCTGCCACACCAGATTTACCCGAATTTAAGCTGGCCGAAAGAAGTCCCTGCTCTCTTAAAGTCCCCTTGTTTGCTTTGTCCGTCTTTTGTTAAACAGCACAGCTGGCGATTAGCAGCACACTGTACATATCAAAGGTATATGACAGCAGTCTTACCAGGGTTGTCGAGATTTGATGACAGTGAGGGAGTCACAAGAACGTGATGGCTAAAGAGACACAAAAATATTTGACGACTTGCTAAACGCGATGACTGTGAATAACGACGATGACAAAAGATAACGTGCACTGCTTCTACACTATGATGGGGCAAACGTAAACGGGAAAGTGACTGCGGCAAACCCCTATCTACTCTGCTGCTAGTCGAGAAGGAGCGTCATAGTTAGGCCTCTATTGTCAGCTCAGCCCCATTGGGAAACCAGTCTGGTGGCGGTGAGCAAGAGCGGGTTTGCAGTTCCCCTCTGCTGGAACTGCCGGTCGTGAAGAGATGAGTACGTAGCTAATGCCCAGATGAAGTAAAGCAACTCTTTTTCCATTAAGCTAGCAAAAATGGAGGAAGAGACATCTGGGGACATGTTTTTAAGTGATGCACAGAACGCAAGAGAAGACTTCACCTACGGACCAATTTCAGAAACTGGAGAATAAAGTAAACCTGGCTGCGAGCGATAGTCAAGCATTTCAGAGAGAATTAGCAAAGCATTTAAGGTGAGACATAAGAAATGCAATGTCGAGCTCAGCCGCTCCGAGTTAATCTAGGCCCTTGTACAGAGAACTTGTCTGTGCACTACAGACGCTGGTCGAGGTAGCTAAGGAATCTTAAACGTGTTGACATTTGGATTTATTTCAGCAGTAAGAACATTGATAACATTCCCAGCAGGCAAACGGCATTGATTCTACATGTGTACGTTGATTCAACGTTGATCCACCAAAATCAACGTTGATTCAATGGTGAATCAATGTCGTTTGTCTGCTGGGATTGCTTTTCGACACATATTAAACACTGAAAATTATCAAAGTTATTACCTCATTTAACTAATAAAACTAATATTAACAATGTTATTTACGGTAAAATGGTGGTACTCATAACTGATAAAAATTGACTTCACTGCAAAATTTCACCTGCGGGAGGTAGTCTAGCAATCACCCTTGCATCTTATGTGTCAACGTGCAATCATGTTGCCCAGTCTAAAAAATGTAAATTAATTTTTTTACTTAACTACTAAGAAGTAAAATAAAAGACTTCAATTTTTGGGACCATAAGCTATATTTGCAATCTCCCCCACTCTAATCACACGGTGCAGAAAACCATCCCATGACACAACACATTAAAACATTTGTCAGAGGTGGGGTGGAATAACTGGATATAGCGCCAGTGAGGAGATAGTTAAATGTAAGTAAACTGCCAACATTATATTCTCTTATGCCGATAATATCAAGAATCTCAATCAAAAGCAATTGTACAAATCAGAAAGAGCTTTATTTCAAGTTAATTTTTTCTCCTTTCGTTCCTTCTCAGGGCACCATTAAAAATATTTTCTTACAAAGAAACAGAACGACCCTTTAAAGATAAAGATCAGATNACAGTTGGGACGTTTTCTTTTGACTTCTCCTTGGTGATTTTTCACCGGGTTGTGCCATAAAAAAGCCATCTATCACCGACTAAAAAAAGGTCATGGCGACCATCCTCAGTCACCACCTTATAATCGCTTTCTATGATATCGTTCCCTTCCAGCACATCGTCCAAATAATTACCTGTGAAAAAAATCGTCAGCATATAGCGGCGCTTTGACATTACTGATCTCGAATTCTAACGCGAAATAACGCATATGATATTTATCTCCAAGCTGAGGAGAGCGACGCAGACGAAACCTTGAGACCGGAGGCCCCCCGTATAGTAGCTCCGCCCACCGTAACAGACATCGGACAATAGAAAGGCTTGCGTGTAATCTCCTTCTGTTATAACTCCTTGACAGAACCAAGTAAAATATTTTGTTGTCAGTTTGGAAGAGACAGATAATCATGGTAGCCAAGGGTCCATAATTACAACAATACCGGTAGAAAACAACAAGCCAATGATTGAAATAAATAACGACAAAGGGTGGAACAACAAGAAAATCAAATTACTGATATTTCCTAGAATAAAGAATAAGTAATAAAAGCATAACGGCAGGAAATATAGAATTGTAGACTGACAAATCAGAATGAAATATTCTGATTACACGCAAAAGACAATGAAAACAATTGAATGAGTGATCGGTTCCAAAGAATAGATTACAAATCCTCTTGAATTTGTACGACAAATCAAGTGAATAAGTAGATGAAAGTTCCAATCGTTATTGTTGTCACCATTATAACAAATTGGTGGAGGATCTGGTCAATGATCCCAGTGTGTCTCGCAATATGTTACTTCAATCAACCACAGTCACCATCAGTTTTTCAAAAGAGGCAATAACATTTCCAACAATTGCATGGCTAAGCTACAAAATACCCTTGGGTTTCATTAGGGTTATTGGGATTATTGCCCATGATAACAATTAGCCTAGGTATCAAAGTCAGGTGATTGGCATTAATAGTGGCTTAATGAAAAAGACACGTTCTTTTGAGACAAAATATGTCTAAGAAAGTGAACAGACATTTCAAATTGTAACATCTAGCAGTGAGTCGTCTGAAGAAGAAGAAATACTACATGAAAGTTCACACCAA